GCTGCTAGTCTTGTCGCTGAGTCTGAGTCTGTCTGTCCTCCGTCCGTCGGGGGTGAGTGTGCCCTTGGCACGGACGTCCTTGAGGACAGGCAGGAGGAGTTCCAGTGTCTGGCAGCTGCCTCATCTCATCTCGTGTCCGTACTGCTTACCCCTGAGGGAGACCCGGATGCACTTGACATCCCGACTCCGCGCTCGTACGCGGAGGCGATAGAGGGTCCCTACTCCTCTCAGTGGCAGGCAGCTATGGATGCAGAGATGGCTTCCTGGAAGTCCACAGGCACCTACGTTGACGCTGTCCCCCCTCCTGGGGCGAACATCGTCAGTGGCATGTGGATCTTCAGGGTGAAGCGGCCGCCGGGTTCTCCGCCTGTCTTCAAGGCGCGTTACGTGGCTCGTGGCTTCAGTCAGCGGCAGGGAGTTGACTACTTTCAGACCTTCTCCCCCACCCCGAAGATGACCACTCTTCGGGTACTGCTGCACGTTGCTGCTCACCGTGACTACGAGCTGCACTCTCTTGACTTCAGCACAGCTTTCTTGCAGGGCAGCCTGCACGAGGAGATCTGGCTGCGTCGCCCACCTGGCTTCACTGGGTCTTTCCCTCCTGGTACCCAGTGGAGTCTCCGGCGTCCAGTCTACGGTCTCCGCCAGGCGCCACGTGAGTGGCACGACACACTGAGGACTACGCTTGCGGCTCTTGGGTTTGCTCCTTCTACTGCCGACCCGTCGCTGTTTCTACGCACCGACACCTCTCTGCCGCCGTTCTACATCCTCGTGTACGTCGACGACTTGGTCTTTGCCACAGCTGACACTGCTGGACTCACCTACGTGAAGTCCGAGCTGCAGAAGAGACACACGTGCACAGACCTGGGTGAACTGCGCAGCTACCTTGGCTTGCAGATCACCCGGGACAGAGCACGCCGCACCATTACCCTGACTCAGTCACACATGGTGCAGCAGGTCCTTCAGCGCTTCGGCTTCACGTACTCCTCGCCTCAGGCCACTCCTCTGTCTACTCGCCACTCGCTCTCAGCTCTGCCTTCGGATGAGTCCGTAGAGTCGAGTGGCCCGTACCCAGAGCTTGTTGGCTGCCTCATGTACCTGATGACCTGCACACGACCTGACCTTGCATACCCTCTTAGCATTCTTGCACGCTATGTTGCTCCTGGGAGACACAGACCAGAGCACATGGCTGCAGCGAAGAGGGTGTTGCGCTACTTGTGCAGTACGTCGGGCATGGGGCTAGTGCTTGGAGGGCGGAGTCCAGTGGTCCTCACTGGGCACGCGGACGCTTCTTGGGCTGACGACCAGGCTACGCAGCGGTCGTCACAGGGTTACACCTTCAGCCTTGGTTCCGGCTCTGTTTCGTGGCGGGCTACTCGCTCGTCTTCTGTTCTTGGCTCGAGTTGTGAGGCTGAGATCTACGCCGGGGCCATGGCTGCACAGGAGCTTCGCTGGCTCACCTACCTGCTGACCGACCTTGGAGAGCCGCCTCGTTCTCCTCCAGTCCTGTACGTAGACAACAAGGCCATGCTGGCCTTGTGTCGAGAGCAGCGACTGGAGCACAGAACAAAGCACATTGCTCTCCGCTACTTCCTTGCTCGTGAGCTACAGCAACGTGGACAGTTGCGGCTTGCGTACGTGGCCTCTGAGGCCAACACTGCTGATGTCTTCACCAAGGCACTTCCGCCTTGTGATCATCAGCGCTTCTGCACTCAGCTGGGTCTTGTGCCCGTCTTGCCTCACTTGCTCTCCTCTTGACCTTGCTTGTACTCTCACATATATATATACCTGCTCTTGCTTGTCTAGCTTTATATATATGTGTTTACTCTTGCATGTGAACTGGCCGTGTGGCCTTGACCCTGTGCTCGGACTGTGTGGTGACTTTGTGATCCACCCTGAGCTTGCTTTGCTTTGCTTTGCTTGACTGGTCTTGTGACCCCTTGTTCTCCCCCACTTTGCCTATGGGGGTGTGTCAGAACATTGTAGCTTATGCTGTTGTGTAGGCTATAGTGGGGTATCCCATAGGGGGTACAACCAATTAGGGTTTCATATTTGTACTCACTTCATTTCATAGTTCATCCATTCTCGTTCTCATTATCACATTACAGGACATCGAAGCAGTTTTTACAATACTGAGTGAGAACCGCCTACTGACAAAAGCGTCTAAGTGTGAATTTTTACAGGACCGTCTGGAGTTTTTGGGACACGTTATTTCAGCCGCAGGAGTGGAAATAGACCCGAAGAAAATTGCGACGATTCAGGCGTGGCACGCGCCGACCAACTTGACAGAGTTGCAGAGTTTTCTGGGGTTCGTCAACTACGTGCGCCGGTTCGTCCCCGACATGGCGAAGCTGACTGCCCCGTTGACTGACCTGCTGAGGAAGGGGGTTGAGTACACGTGGGGGGAGAAAGAGCAAGCTGCCCTCTCGGCCCTCAAAAACATTTTGTGCTCACCGCCCGTGCTTCACATCGCCGATCCACACCGTCCGTTCGAGCTCGTCACTGACGCAAGTGACATCGCTGTGGGAGCAGTACTGTTGCAGGATTTCGGGAACGGCCTCCAGCCAATCGCGTACGAGTCCCGCAAACTGCACCCGCCCGAACGCAACTACCCGATACACGACCGCGAAATGTTGGCGATCGTGCACGCGTTCAAGGTTTGGCGGTGTTACCTGACTGGCGCCGACGTGACAGTACGGACAGACCACCGATCACTACAGTACTTACGCGCCCAACCAAATCTCAATCCGCGACAAATTCGCTGGCTGGACTACCTCGAGTCCAACTTCCACTAGACGGTTACGTACAAGAAAGGCGCATCCAACATCGCCGACGCACTCACCCGCCCTACCGCCCAACTCCACGCCATCCTACTCGCCCAGACCAACCCGCTGTTAACAGGCCTATTCACCCACGGATACCGCACCGACCCATTTTTCACGACTGGAAACTCACAGCAACTGGCAGAAGCTAAAGGAGTTTATTACGTAAAAACAGGCACCAACCGCATCTGGGTACCTCCGTACTCACTACTGAGGGAGCTGCTACTGCGGGAGGCACACGACGGAATTACCTCGGGACACTTTGGGGTAGAAAAAACGCGACAGCAACTGCAGCGGTATTATTACTGGCCGGAGCTGTTGACCGACGTACAGCAGCACGTGGGCTCGTGCCCCACGTGTCAGGTGATGAAGAGCTCGAGGAAGCGGAAGGCGGGTCAATTGCAGCCGATACCACCGCCCGAGCGCGCCTGGCAGCAGGTTACCATGGACTTCGTCACAGGGTTACCTTCGAACCCTGGGGGTAACGACGCGGTGATGGTCGTCGTTGACAGGCTGACGAAGATGGCACACTTCGCTGCGTGCAAAAAGTCGATCTCAGCCGAGGAGACCGCTCGTCTGTTCATCGCAGCCGTTGTTCGCCTGCACGGGATACCAGCAGCGATTATCAGCGACAGGGACACGAAGTTTACCAGCAACTTCTGGAAAAACCTCTGGGAGCAGTTCGGGACCAGGCTACAGTTCAGTTCGTCGTACCACCCCGAGACCGACGGCCAAACGGAGCGGACGAATCAGACGATGGAGTAGTTGATTCGTGCCACGTGCGACGACCCCACGACTTGGGATTAGCAGCTGCCGCTGATCGAGTTCGCGTACAACAACGCCACGTCAGCGACGACGCAGCAGTCCCCCTTCTACCTGAACTACGGGCAAAATCCTACAGTGCCCATGACGCCGAGTCCGGACAATCCGACACCACGTGCACAACAATTCGCCGAAATTCTGCAAGCTGCCCGCACCAGAGCTGCAGAAGCAATTAAAAAAGCAAATGTCATCGCTAAGCGCAACGCCGACCGCCACCGCCGACCCGTCACCTACCAGTCAGGGGATTACGTACTGCTCGACACGCAAAACCTGCGACTGCCCGACGTACCAAAACTGCGACCGCGCTACTGTGGCCCATTCCAAATCAGCCACATGATCACGCCAGTAACCACGCACCTACTGTTACCGACCGACTGGTACATCAGCCCTTCGTTCCACGTCAGCTTGCTTCGCCCATACATCCCAACCACAAGCCAATTGCCTCGCCACCGCCCGCCATCCATGACTCGACGTGCATCAGAACCGATCATCGAGCCCGAAAAAATCCTGAGCCATCGGATTCGACACCCCACGGGAATCAGGAGGATTGAATTCCTCGTTCGCTGGAAGGACCGCACGCCAACTGAGGATAGCTGGGTGCCCCTGGCCAACATTGAAAACCACCCTGCCCTGCAAGTGTACCTGAGGAGCCGGGGATTCCGCGACATACACGCACTCGCGTAGCGGAGGGGGCTTCTTGAGGGGGGGGGGGTAGTGTAAGGAATTTTCTCGGCATTCCTTATGGAGCCCGACTACATCGCGTACAGCAACAGCCGTTGTTCGCCCGTTACTGCTAACGGAACTTCGCCGACTTCTCGCGCACTGTTTCACCAAACCTCGCACTGCTGGCCCGGCCGTGTCGGCCGACGCTTCGGGACTAGCCCGAGCCTCGCTGCCAGCCAGCATAGCATTGGCTAGCTCGCACGCACCGCGTCACCGTTTGCATGCTTCGCATATAAATGTTCGCTCATGCCTTCGCTCACATCTTTGTACTCGTTTGACACCTTAGTGCAATTCTCGCTACTTCGATTCATTGCACCCGTAACACGTATCAAGCCCCAAAATGCTGCACCTACGAATCATGTCAAATACCTAAGCGAAATTCAAAGACATGCACTTGGAGCCAGAAGCCCCTCCATTAGTATGCAGATGGGCAGAGACAAGTGACATCATGACATCAACACTTTCTGCCCCAATGTGCAACCATAATCCAAGTCTGAAATGGAGCCCTAAGGCAAGAAAATATCATGATTCCACGGAGGTGTTTATTGGGTCAAAACAACCAAACTATCGTACTGTACTTGGCTTCAATCTCTGAGCTACTCACTATTGACAGCTCGCATCCGTACATAATCACTACGCGGATTTTGCGCTTGGGGCAGCCGGCAACAGCTGTGTAGGAGGGTGAGTGAACAAGATGGTGAGCAATGTATGGATGGAACAAGACATAAGATATCGGAGGGAGTGAGAGGGAGGGAATGAGAGGTTAGAAGGCCAAGGGAGGGAAAGAGGGGGTGAAATACAAACTGCAAGCTTGAAAGTATAGCAGACGGAATCACCACTACGAACCTGGTAACAAGAGATTAGCGAAGTAAAAAAGCCCAATGCTCCAGTGACTCGAGGTGTGACCGTCTTTGGTGCAAGCTGAAGCAGGCCAATCGCAACAATAATGTCGGTAGTTGACTTCACAAAGTTCAGTTGTCGCTGGCGTGCCTTCGCTAAAGCAGCTAGCAATTGATCTTTCTGCAAACACCAATGACTAGCTGTTAGCCGCGGTTCCCCAACATACACAAGCGAGAGACAGCATAAACGTGACTTACCAGCTTGGCTTGCTCAGTTGCGTTCTTCTTCTCCTTAGCGCGACGGATTTCCTTGCCAAGTTTGGCACAAGTGATGGACAGCCGATAGAGCTCACAGACCTGACGCGCGAAATCGATAAAAATCAGGCGATTACGAATGCCAAGTGGGCTGTACGCATTCCGCAGACTTGCTCACCTCAATGACGGATCCAACACCACAGCTAGACATCCAGCAGTGAAGGGAAAGCTTGGCTATCAGATCACTTCGTTCCTTGTTCTGCGAAGCAACAAACGCTGCGTAAAATGGAGTTTTCCGAAGGCTTTAGAGCTGACTAACATGCGTACGACAAATCATGTACCTGATAGATTCCAGAACGACCCAGCCACACCACTTGATCCAAGCCAAGGAAAGTAGCCAGCAAAGCACTCTTAATCTGCAGGACGATAATATAACATAGTTGTACTTCATTTTGGAAGAGAATTCTCACAAGCACCAATCAAAAGTGCAACCTCATGTAACCTACCCTTCCGAGCAGCACCAAGAATAGAGGGGTTGTCTTGGGGGCAGGACTAAGAAGATTCTGGATCTCATTGACGGACTGCAAGACATAAACAGCGGAATGCGATTTAGACGCCATCAAAAAGGTAAAAATCGCAATACGAAAACGGCTGCGGCAGAAGTGACCAACCTTCAAAAGCCTGAAAACTTTTCTCGCTAAACTGGTGTTCTTGTCCACAGTGGCTGCAATGCCAGGTTCACCCCCGCTGATGAACTTGGAACCATACTGGATGGCCCTACAAATCTTGTCACGTGTTTCCGCTTTGTTCAAGTACAATGCGAGCAACGCCACGTGAACTCTTGCATCTTCAATGGATGAAACCATGGTCAGAATCCTTTTACTCGAGACCAATTTTTTCTTTACAGGAAAGCCTGATTCAGAAGTATGAAAGAGCTCCGGTTCAGATAGTCGAGCGGAGCTTAGAGACACGTGAGCATTATTAGCCTTGAAGCAAAGTCAAACCAGTAAAACGGGTGCAGGTTTGATTGTGCAATTCAGAGATGATGGAGCGTGGACAAGGTGGAAGGTGGGAGGGGTGAGAGGCGCGGTGGGGAGCCGAATGGAGACACTAGAGTGGACGGGGTGACTGGGCCAGTGAGGTGTGTCACAAACTGCCCTATGTGGGCCAACTGACAGGGAGTCTGGGCCCGATGACGTGTGGAGGTGGTCCCTGATTTCGAACACATGACACGTGGAACAGCAAAGCACTTACAACATGAAACGAAACTGCTGGGCCTAAGCCCACATGTTTCGTGCACTTACCCTAGAAGCAATAAAGCATCACAGACTGTAGTTTACCAGAATATAACTATTCAATTTTACATCTATATCTGGTAAGTGTAGGAGCAGATGTTGGAGAATATATATATATATATAGAGAGAGAGAGAGATAGAGAGAGAGATAGAGAGACAGAGAAAGAGGGAGGGAATTAGGGAGAGAGGAGAGATGTAGAGAGAGGAGGAGGATAGAGATGAATCTTTTACTATATACTTTCAAAATAATAATGTCCACAACAGTGTAACCCACTGTACTTCTGTAGGCATTCTCATACGATCATGACATTCAGTCGAGGATACGGAAGGTCACCATTTGCCTGCCACGGCGGATGTACCACCACGTCAGCTCCTGAGCACCAATCCCGTTTCGAGGAGCTCGATTGTTCCCTTGAAATTCCCCCCTCCATTCTCGAGTGTTTCTCCCCACTTCCGTCCACGTTGCCCACACCATCATCCCCGCCCACACCCCCGCACCCCCGCACCCCCATTCCCCTCCTTTTTCCCCCAGTTCGTACATTCACCCCACCCCACACCACACCCCTCCCCCCCCGCTCTTCCCCCCTTCCACTTCTCCACCCCCTCACAACTCGCCCATTCCAGTGTTGTTTGTATCATCATCAGTTTGTCGAACGATTCTCTTTCCGTCCACCATTCTGAGGGATTGACTTGCTTCAGCATCACCATCCGCCGCACTTCTACCATGGCTTCCCTTCTCGCCACTCCTGTTCGTGGCCTCACTGCTGGACTTGCTTCAAATGCGGAGGCTTCAGACGCGTGGGTGCGATCCGCGTCCTCGTCATCCGCGCGCCTCGCCTCTCTCCGCGGCACCGGATTCGATCCCCTCCGCTACGTCCGCGCGTCGACGTACCGCCGCCGTGCATCCGCCGCGATTCGCCGAGTCTCGGCATCTGCCGAAGATTCTGCATCAGAAGCATCGTCAGCAACCGAAGAAAAGCCTTCCGTTACAAGCCCATTCGCGGGAAAGAAGATATCGGCCCTGCTAGCAGCCCGCGCCGCAGCCGCTTCTAAGGCGGCAACCAGCAGCGCATCGGGTTCTCCCGCCGCTGCCGAAGCACCAGTGTCGCCACCCGCAGCAGGCGATAGCGCATTTCCCCCTCCCCCCACAATGGCTTTCCCCTCGTCGTTCGCCAAAAGCCTCCCCACTTCCACCCCTACCTCCCCGTTCGCATCCCCCACTGCCCCCGCTTCCCCTGCACCTCCCCGCGCCAGCCCCGCCCCCGTTCCTGCACCTGCGGATCGCTCTTCCGTGAATGCCGTTGTTGGTGGCTCAGTCACGCCGAAAGTTTCATTCCGCGGAAAGGCCATCGTAGATGCTTTCAAGCAAGGCAGCGGCAGCAGCGCGAAAGGCGGCGCTGGCAAATCCGCAGCCGGCGCGACCGCGTCGTCATCGACGTCAACACCGGCGGACGGCAGAATTCGCGTGGGGTCCCCGCTTGCGCCGGCGAACATTTTCAACGAGGTTAAGCGAACTCCGGAGGAGATCGAGGCGGAGAAATGGCGGTTTCAGGTGAGCCGCGATCAGCTGCTGCTGGCACTCTCCTTCTTCGCGTCGTCGATTATCATGCTCGGAACGGTGTTCGTCGTATGGAAACTGGGCGCCATTCATTTCAACGAGTACTGAGAAAGGGAAACGAATTGAGGCGGCTTATGTAGAATGCAGACAAGGACACATGAAGAGAGGAACATTAGGGGGGGGGGGGGGGGTGTTGGGGGAATTGTGGGATGGGGAAGGATGGAAGAGCATGGCCTTCGGAAGGACGGATGGGGATGGAGGATAAAGTTCAAGGCGTCTGTATTTGTCTCTTCGGAGGAGAATCAGCAGCAGCGGGAGCAGGAACAGGAGCAGCAGCAGCAGCAGCAGTTGGGGAACAGGAGCAGAGCAGCAGCGGATAAGCTTCACTTCCACCAAACATAAACCAATGCTACACTATTGTCTCTGCAGTTTGCTGAATGTAACTGCTGGGATAATAGACGAAGCGTGCTAAGAGATTGTGTTTTGGTTGAGTGGCAGTCGAAGCGGCTGTGCTCGGTGCTAGGCGGTTGAGGGTGTGTGCTGTGACATGCAGAAAGGGTGGGCTGGTATGAGGCTGGAGGAGATTTTTTCGAAGGGGGAGGAGGCATGGGAAGGTGTGGGGGGTGTAGGCGAAGGCAAGTAAGCCGAGGAAGAGGAATATGGTGCACGAGAAGTGATGGCGATGGTGTTGAGGCAGGAAGAAAGTTGTGTGGCTGCTGTTTTGTAAAGGTGGAAGGGAGTGGGGGGAGTGGCTGCGGAAAGGGAAATGTTGTGTGTTCAGCCTAGGTGTTTGATGTCTGTTTATGTCTAACTATGCTGTAGGTACCGTCAATTTTGCTGTTTCCATATGTTTTTTACGGTATATTTTTGTGTGCCCTCATGGTTCACATGTTGCACCTTCGTCTCAGATGCGGTAATAGGGTGTGCATGTGCATGCTGAATGGGCAGTGTTGTCAAAACTGTTACAAAGGTTATTATGTCAATCAGTGTTAAACAGACTGCATTAACTAGGGCTACCATGTCATACCAGCTAGCCCTTACATGCTCTACTACCCAGGTCCCACCCACCCACAAAAGAACCCACACTTACGTATCAACAGGTGGGAAAAGCTCGATAGCATACCCCTGCCAAGAGGCCTTAAAGTGATGCCTATGAGCAGCCAGTCAGTCCCACGCGCATTCGGGTGCAGTGATAATGAACCAACCTGTCAAATCTACACACGACAAAGGCTGATGCGCAGGTGCTGACCAGAAGCAGGAGTGAAGAATACTTCATGTAGAAGTACAGACGGAAATCGAGTGGGTCTGTGTGTCAGCCCGAACTCTGTAACAAGTGGGTTGGAGGAGAAAGCCAGTGCCGTGCCGTTTCTGTGTGAGTTAGTGAGGGAGAAAGAAGCTCGATCCAATCGAAGAGAAGGCATGTGATGTGAAAGGCTTTTCAAGTCGAGTAAAAAGCTGCCCCAGAGGGTAAGGGGTATCTCAAAACAATCCAAATTGCAGACACGTCTCAGGAGGGGGAGAAGGGAAGGCGCCTTAGAAGAGGTGAAAGACAACTCGTGTCAGGAGAGGGAGATGAGAAGGCGTATCAGTCAGGAGAGGGAGATGACAAGGCGTATCAGTCAGGAGAGGGAGAGGCGATGGTGTCTCAGGAGAGGGAGAAGAGCGCGCAGCGGCGGTCCTCGGCAAGAGCTACAGCAGCGGTGGGATCTCCAGCGTTGAGGTTGAGTTGCATGGAAGCAGAGGAGAGCTGCATGGAAGAGAAGGTGACTCGCAGCGTTGCTCCCGCGTACACTGCTGACCCCAAGGGCGGCTGGAAGGTCCGCGCTGCCAGCCGCTGCTTGGAGGGAGGAAGGGAGGGGGGAGAGGGAGGGGGGAGGTGGATGGGGGAACGGGGGAGGGGAAGGGGCGAGGGGATAGACTGCATGCACTTGGTTGATCGTGCGAGAGAGTTGCATAAACCTGACAAGTGCAAACATATTGTGTGTCCGTGGGAGCGAGTGTGGGCATGCATGTCTGTGTGCATGAGTGCATGTGGGTGGGCATGCATGTGTGCGTGCATGCATTTGAGAGTATGAACACACGCACCGGGCCAAAGCAGAACTGATTGCTCGCATCCACTTGTGCTCCACTGCCCTCACACACCACGTGTAATGAGTCCATTTTTGAGTCGACTAAAAAATGCGTGCATGTGTGAATGCATACGCACCGGGCCAACAAAGTAGAACTGATTGCTAGCATCCACTTGTGCTCCACTGCCCCCACACACCACCTCCACTTTATTCACATTCGCCGATCCCACATTAAAGCTTTCCCCTCCCCCTCCCCCTCCCATGTCCGCAGCAGCAGGTGCCCCCGCCTCCCCCCCACTCCCATCCCCTCCGCTCCCCCCTCCTGCTCCCCCACCCCCAAACCCGAGCCTACAGAGGAGATTAGGCGAGAGAGGAGAGTCCGGGAGAGCGGAAGCGAGAGGGAAAGAGGGGATCGACCCGTCGTTGCCTTCAAAGAAACAGTCACAGTCCGAGACAGAGACAGATGTGCAGGGTTCCGGGGGAGAGGATGGTGGTGAATCCAGGGACGGTGGATTGAGGGATGATGCTGGTGCGTCAGGCGGGGGAGGGGCGATAGGTGGGGAACGCATAGAGCCGTGGGTGGGGCGGAGCGTGGGGTCGAGGGGAGGGCTGGGGGCAGCGATCAGGAACGGGGGGAGGGAGAGACCGGGGGGAGGGGGGAAGAGGTCAGGGGGAGGAGGGGAGGGAGAAGGGGGAGGAGGGGATGGGGGAGGAGGGGATGGAGGAGGAGGGGAAGGGGGAGGAGGAGAGGGGGGAGGTGGGGAGGGGGGAGGAGGGGAGGGTGGAGGAGGGGAAGGGGGAGGAGGGGAGGGGGGAGGAGGGGAGGGGGCGGGCGGGGGGAAGGCAGGCGGGGGAGATTCTGGGGGCGGGTAGGGCGGAGGAGGGGGAGGGGAAAGAGGGGGAGGCGGAGGGGAGGAATCGGGGGGAGGGGGAGAAGCAAGAGGGGGAGGCGGAGAGGCAATGGGGGGAGGGGGAGAGGCAACGGGGGGAGGGGAGGAGGCAACAGGGGGAGGTGACAGGGGACGCATGGATCCGTGAGTTGGGGGAAGGTAGGGCATGAGAGGAGGGCTGGGGGCAGCAACGAGGAGAGGAGGGGGGGAGAGCGAGGGGGAGGGGAGGCGGATGACAGGAGGAGGAGGAGCAGGGGCGGCAGTTGGAGGTGGCGTGGCAACAAGAGGCTCATTGGTTGTGCCTGTTAGGGGAGAGGGCGAGAGAGAGAGAGGGGCGAGGGGGGTAGGTTGGGTAACTTTTGAGGTGCCTCAAGAGGGGGAGCAGGGGCGGCAGTTGGTGGTGGCGTGGCAACAAGAGGCTCATTCGTTGTGCCTGTTAGGGGAGAGGGCGAGAGAGGGCGGCGAGGGGCGAGGGGGGTAGGTTGGTTGAGAGAGGAGAGGGAAAGAGAGGAAGAGGCGTTGGAGCATAGGAGTAGGGTTGCCAAAGGGAGTGGAAGGGAAAAGCATTGGTGCCGAGCAAAGGGAGCTGCTTGCTAGAATAGAGTGGCAGGGACAGGATACACGGGTTGGCAGTTGAGATGCTGTTGATTTATTTTTTCACAATAGACTCAAATGCCTTTTCTCTTGTAAGGTCCACAGCGGGAGACAGGAATTGATGTAAGCGGGAGACAGGTAACGCACTGGTTGCATGAAAGAGGAGCACTGATATGGTATGCTTCCATGGTTGCACTAATCAAGGAACACCCGAGAGACATGCTTCCATGCATGTAATTTGAGGTCCCTATGTGGTGTTTATACACCATGCTGTGCTATGCCACACTATGCCACGCCATGCCACGCCATGCCACGCCATGCCACGCCATGCCACGCCATGCCACGCCACGCCACGCCATGCCACGCCATGCCACGCCATGCCACGCCACGCCATGCCACGCCACACCACGCCATGCCACACCACGCCACGCCATGCCACGCCATGGCACGCCATAACAGGTTCGGCTCGTGCTCCACAAGAGGTGCAAACTCACAGTTGACATCGGTCCATGCCATGACACCCTTCTGCCGCTCGATCCAGATGTACTTGTTGCGCAGCCATGACTCTGGTAGCCAGCCACAGGAAGGAGGGCAGGCAGACGGGTAGGGAAAATGATAGGGGCGTAAGGCAAGGCTTTTTCGTTGCTCGATCCAGATGTACTTGTTGCGCAGCCATGACTCTGGTAGCCAGCCACAGGAAGGAGGGCAGGCAGACGGGTAGGGAAAATGATAGGGGCGTAAGGCAAGGCTTTTTCGTTGCTCGATCCAGATGTACTTGTTGCGCAGCCATGACTCTGGTGGTCACAGACAGGCAGGACGACAGGTGGGCAGGCAGGCAGGCAGGCAGGCAGGCAGGCGGGGGTGGGGAAACAGAAGTAAGATCAGAAAGGGCGTGAGACAGGGACTTCTGCCGCTCCATCCAGATCCAGATCCAGATCCAGATCCAGATCCAGATCCAGATCAGACAGGGTGTACTTGTTGGGCACCATCCGCATGACTCTGGTTGGAGAAGGGCAGGCGGGCGGGCAGGCAGATGGGAGGCGCAAGGCGGATGGAGGGAGGCAGGAGTGTGGGAGGTAGGAGGGTGGGTGGGACCGTGGAAGGTGCTAGGTGGGGAAGGGGGAGGAAGGGAGACGGGCGAGAGCAGAGAGAAAACCGGGTGGGGAAATGCCTCGTACTGCTCGAATTAGGTGGAAGTTGAGGCACCTAAAAAAACCATCTTTGAGGCGCCTCAGAAATGCCTCGTGCTGCTTTGGAGAATTCTCAAAAGCCACACGAATTAGGTGGAATCTGTTACACAAGAACGACTCAACACCTTCCTTTGAATCAAACCCCCTCCAATCCCATCCCCAGCTCCCCCAATTCCCACCTTCCCCAATCCCCACCTTCCCCAATCCCCGCCTTCCCCAATCCCCGCCTTCCCCAATCCCCATCTTTCCCAATCCCCGTCTTCCCCAATCCCCACCTTCCCCAATCCCCGCCTTCCCCAATCCCCGCCTTCCGCAATCCCCATCTTTCCCAATCCCCGTCTTCCCCAATCCCCACCTTCCCCAAGTCACACCTGCGAGCACGGTTCTGAGGGAGGGCGATCTGGCTACTGCAAAGCATGCCAGGCCGTCAGGTGGCGACTGGGGGAGGTAACAATGGGGGAGGGGATGGGGCGAGGGGGGAGGGAAGGAAGGGGGGGAAGGCGCAGAGGGGGGAATAGGTGGGGAGATCAGGGGATTGGGGGAGGGAGAGGGGGAGAGAAAGCGGGAGATGAACGCGGGTGAAGTGAGGGGGAAGGGAAAGAGACGTCAGAAGAAGGTGAGGTTATTATGCTTCGCTACAAGAGATGATCGCAGGAAGGAGGCTTGGAGGGACAAAGGGTGGCACAAGGAGGGAATCACTGCAAGAAAGGAGGTAGGGATTCACGGGAAGGGGTGGGGAGGACTCATAGCAAGGAGGTTGGTCTGAGGGAGGATCAGAAACTCTGCGTTGCCGCATGTGCGAAACGACACATGTGTGCATGAGGGATAAGGAGGGAAGATGAGGCATGGAATAAGGTACTCATGGCAAGGAAGGACAGGGACTCACTGCAAGGGGTGGGGACTCACTGCAAGGAGGGACTCACTGCAAGGAGGTAGGTCTGAGGGAGGACCAGGAACTCTGCATCGCCTGCTAGATGCAGCGTGACGGTTGGAAAGCGCTGGTAGAACGCTGAAGGGTCATTGCTGCTTGCGGATACACATGCAATGATGGATGGATGCACACATTTGTACACGCACATGCACATGCACATGCACATGCAAGCACAAGCACAGGAACGAGTCACAGGAAGCGATAACAATTTAGGTGCATGAGTGCATGCTTGCAGATTGCATGAGAACACGCATGCATGTCCGCATAAGCGCATGAGCACATCTGTGCTGTGCATGCGTGCATGGGTGCAAGGCAAGGCAAGGCTAGCGCGGCTCATCAGCCCCACGTGGCCTTCTCCTTGTTGACTTGTGAGAATTCTAATTCTCTCAACAACACGAACTTGGTGAACCTTGACTATCCCTTCACGTGCACTGCAACAACAAGGTCATGGTGAGGTGACGCTCGGCTTATCACAGCTTGGTGCCCCGTTAGTCACGATTATTGAGATGTCTCAAAAGCCATCTGCCTGTCGACTTGTGAGAAATCTCTCAACAACAACAAGGACTTGGTGAATCTCGGCTTATCACAGCTTGGTGCCGTTGGTCACGTCTCAAGCATGGCACAGCACAGCAGCAGTGTTACGGGGCAATGTTCTTGTTGATATAGCACATGAGGCTGTGGTGCATGTGGTGCATGTGGTGCATGTGGTGCAAGCACGGCACAGCAGCAGCCTTACGTGGCAATGTCCTTGATGACAAATCACATGAGGCTGTGCGAAGCCTTTTGGGCCGCCTCAAGAAAAAAAAAACACACACACACACACACACGCACGCACGCACGCACGCACGCACGCACGCACGCACGCACGCACAAGCACGCACGCACGCACACACGCACGCACGCACGCACGCACACACACACACACACACACACACACACACACACACACACACACACTCGCAGCAGCCTTACGTGGCAATGTCCTTGTTGACATAGCACATGAGGCTGTGCGAAGCTGAGTCCTTATTGCTGAACGTGAACCCTCCCACCGTCTCAACCACCTGCCGCACACACCACACACCACACACCACACACCACACACATGAAGCAGCGCAACACATGACTTTAGAGTCAACTCAAAAGGCTGAATGTGAACCCTCCCACTGTTTGTACCACCTGCCGCACACACACCACCACACACATGATGCAGTGCAACAGGTAGTGAGAATGAGGACATGGAAGGGGGGGAGCAGGGGGGATGGCATGCCACCCCACTATGCACACACGTACTACTCTATACCAGACCAGAACAGACCAGACCAGAACAGACCAGACCATACCAGACCAGACCAGACCAGACCAGACCATACCATACCAGACCAGACCAGACCAGACCAGACCATACCAGACCATACCATACCATACCAGAGCAGACCAGACCAGACCAGATCAGACCATACCAGACCATACCATACCATACCAGACCAGACCAGACCAGACCAGACCAGACCAGACCAGACCAGACCAGACCAGACCAGACCAGACCAGACCAGACCAGACCAGACCAGACCAGACCAGACCAGACCAGACCAGATCAGATCAGACCAGATCAGACCAGACCAGACCAGATCAGATCAGATCAGACCAGATCAGATCAGATCAGACCAGACCAGACCAGACCAGACCAGATCAGACCAGACCAGACCAGATCAGATCAGATCAGACCAGATCAGATCAGACCAGACCAGACCAGACCAGACCAGATCAGACCAGACCAGACCAGACCAGATCAGATCAGATCAGATCAGTCCAGATCAGATCAGATAAGACCATGCACGGTACTGCTACAAACGAAACAGCAGACGTACCACGGTGACGAGTGCGTGGAACACGTCCCCTGGGAGCTCCATGAAGGTGGTGGAGGAGACCAGCACGGCCCCGCACACCCACCTTCTACTCCTCTATGCCACCCCACCACATCATGCACACCAGAAAGCACACCAGAAAGCACGTACTGCGGTGATGAGTGCGTGGAACACGTCCCCTGGGAGCTCCGTGAAGGTGGTGGATGAATCGAGCACGGCCCCGCTCTCTCCCTTGCAGGTGACTACAGTTTGACTACAGTCAGCGCAGAGCACACACAACAGACAGACGTACCGCGGTGATGAGTGCGTGGAACACGTCCCCTGGGAGCTCCGTGAAGGTGGTGGAGGAGTCCAGCACGGCCCCGCCCTCTCCCGTTGGGGTGGGCGGGCGGAAGTTGCGCGGAGGGATGGATAGAAGCGTGCCTGCTACTGACACGCCCTTGATGTGGATGAAATAGAGCGGACTGGGAGAGGGAGGGGACAGATGGTAGGAAGGGAAAGCAGGGGAAGAAGGGGGGTGGGGGAGGGAGTGATTGGAGGTGTGAAGTTGCGCGGAGGGATGGGGAGAAGTGTGCCTGCCACTGACACGCCCTTGATGCGAATGAAGCAGAGCGGACTGGGCAGGGATAGGAGGGGGGGCCGGGGGAGAGAGAGGCCGGATTCAAGGTGTGACGCATTGGCGGAGATGGGGAGAAGCGTGCCTGCTATACTGACACGCCTTCGATGTGGATGAAGCAGAGCGGACTGGGAAGGGAGGGGAAGGGACAGAGAGGTGTGATTGCAGGCGTGAAGTTGCGTGGGGAGAGCGTGGGGAGATGGGAAGAGAAGCAGGGGGAAAGGACGGGCAAAGGGAGAGGAAAGGACAAGGGGTGATGGCTTGAGAACAATGTGAAGTTATCTAAACGATCAATTCTTCCAGCCCTCCCATCCCTCCCATACACAGGGCGAACGTTTCCACCCCACTCTCACCACCTCCCCCTCTCACTCCCACTCTCACCACCTCCCCCTCTCACTCCCACTCTCACCACCTCCCCCTCTCACTCCCACTCTCACCACCTCCCCCTCTCACTCCCACTCTCACCACCTCCCCCATCCCCATGCCCCGCACATACCCAAGCCCGCACACACTCCCATCACCCAGCCCGCAAACATCCCCCACCCACATTCCCCCTTCTTCCCCTCCCCCACCACCCACCCCCGCACTCCCCCGCACTCTCCTCCCCCTCCCCACCTGTCAGAGATCTCAATGAAGGTGGTCCACTGCGTGCCAGTGGGCCCTAAACTCGTGCCCAGCACCACGTAGCTGCCCTTGGCGTAGGGATCACCCTCTCCCACTCTCACCATCACTCCCATCCCTTCCCAGCCACATTCCCACTCCCACCCCCACTCCCTCTCCCACCCACATTTCCCCTCCCACCCCCACTCCCTTCCCCCCCCCACCTGTCAGTGATCTCAATGAAGGTGGTCCACTGCGCGCCAGTGGGCCCCAGGCTCGTGCCCAGCACCACGTAGCTGCCCTTGGCGTAGGGGTCGCCCTCCAGGCACAGGGCGAAGGTGTCCGCCCACACGCCCTGCGCTGCTGCCACTGAGACGATCGACTGGATGCCCCGTCCCAGCCCAAACACCCCGTCTGGCGCCCGAGAGACACCCGATAGGCTTCCCGTCTGGTAGCTGCCACAGCTGGTGATGCACGGAGGAAGAAAGGAGGGAGAGGGGGGGATAGGAAGGGGAGGAAGAAAGGGTAAGCGTCGTCCCTGCGCTCATGCAGGCACTGCTGCTGCAAGTGCAGTGCTCATCCTGGACTGAGCTGAACTGATGCCTGTGAGTAGGATGTAAGTACTTATACGCATTGGGGTCCTGATGGGTAGGGTCACGTGGCCGCTCACTCACACACACACACACACACACACACACACACACACACACACACACACACACAGACCCATTTGCACAGACACACTCACTTGCATGCACACACCCACACACACAGACACACAGACAGACGGACTTACCCAAAGATGACATATGTCTTGGACAGCGTCCCATTCCTTAGCGGCAGCCACACGATATCGTACAGCAACCTCCCTTCAGTCGTCCCCGCAGTCACGCCGCTCACACCGCTCCCTCCGCTGGCAGTCGTGCCGTACCGCTGCGCGTACTCACACGCGTCCGGGTCCCCCGGCAGCGACCGCGCCATACCGCACCCCACCGCTGCGGTTCCAGAGATGAAGGACATGCTGACACAGGTCTTGTCCGCACACGTGAGTGGCAGGTTGGTCTTGGATGCTGCTGGGTCGAATGGGGGGGACGCCTGGGGTGGGGGAGTGGGGAGGAAGGTAGGGGAGTGAGGGGGAGGGTAGGGGAGGGGAGGGAGGGTCCTTGTTTGAGGCGCCCCAAAGGCGGGTCTTGTCGGCGCAGGTGAGCGGCAGGTTGGTCTTGGATGCTGCTGGGTCGAATGGGGGGGACGCCTGGGGTGGGGGAGTGGGGAGGAAGGTAGGGGAGTGAGGGGGAGGGTAGGGGAGGGAAGGGAGGGTCCTTGTTTGAGGCGCCCCAAAGGCGGGTCTTGTCGGCGCAGGTGAGCGGCAGGTTGGTCTTGGACGCCGCTGGGTCGAATGGAGGGGGACGCCTTGGGGAAGGGGAGGGGGGGAAGGGAGAGAGTGAAGGGAGGGACGAAAGGAAGGGGAGGGATTTTCTTTTTTTTTTTAGGCGCCTCAAGAACAGGCCTTGTCCGCACATGTGAGCGGCAGGTTGGTATTGGACGCTGCTGGGTCGAATGGGGGGGACGCCTGGGGTGGGGGAGTGGGGAGGAAGGTAGGCGGGGGAAGGGAGGTCTTTGTTTGAGGCGCCTCAAAAGCAGGTCTTGTCGGCGCAGGTGAGCGGCAGGTTGGTCTTGGACGCTCCTGGGTCGAACGGAGGGGATGCCTGTGGGAGCGGAGAAGTGGGGGGGAGTCTTTCCTTGAGGCACCACAAAAGCTGGTCTTGTCGGCACAGGTTAGTGGCAGGTTGGTTTAGACTTGGATGCCTCTGGGTCGAATGGGGGAAACGATGTTGTAGGGGGAGCAAGCATGCGGGGAAGGAAGGCACACGGGGACGGGAGGAAGCGGAGCACTGCGTGCAGTCGCAGGGAGAAGAAGCTGCGGAGGCACGTACAGGGCCGGTGGTGAAACCAGTGGAGCACTGCGTGCAGTCGCAGGAGAGCCAGGAGACAGGTGTGGTGGTGTCGATCTGCAACCAGAACGTCTGCTGCTCCGACCCAAAGTCCAGCGCCACGTAGTACCCACTGCCGTGTTGCACAGGCGGGGAGTGGCCCAGGGCAGGGGGCCACGGGGGGGCACATGGGATGGGGGCAAAGGAGGGCACAGGGGGTTGCTCAGATCAGAACGTCTGCTGCTCCGACCCAAAGTCCAGCGCACCCTCTGCGGTGTTGCAGAGGCAAGGGGTTTGGGGGGTGGAAGTGGGGAAAGAATCGATGATGGCGAAGCGAAGCTGTGAGGTGTGGGGGGTTATGAGCCACTGTGAGGCGACACGATAAACCCCGTTTGTTGAGCACAGGTCCATCCATCCATCATTCCACCCCACTCAGCGCACCTCTCCTTGCTGAAGCTGTCTCCCACGGTGCCCAGCATGCCGTCCACCGCCTCAGCCAGCATGGACGTGGTGAAGGGCGTCACTGTCTCAAACACTGCAGACGTGCCCTCACCTTTCAACCCGTTTCTAAAGTCGCATACCTGCCTCTCACTTCCCCCACTCAGCACACCTCTCCTTGCTGAAGCTGCCTCCCACGGTGCCCAGCATGCCGTCTACAGCCTCAGCCAGCATCGACGTGGTGAAGGGCGCCACTGTCTCAAACACCGCAGACTTGCCCAGCGCTGACCGCCGCCTCTGCTGCTGCTGGCTTGACTCGCTTGACTCGTTTGACTCGTGTGAGTGCTTGTCGTGGTGCTGCTGCTGCTCTGCTGCTGAGCCTTGCTGCTTGGACCGGCGATGCTTTCTGGTGCCATGTGAATGTCCCAACTGCCGAGAGCCGCCACCGCCGCCGCCGCCGCCGCTGCTGCTGCTGCTGCTGCTTTTTCTCCTCCCTCCTGTCGGCACACCGCTGTTGGTGGGTGCTTGGCTCCCTAAGCCCGTAGCATACGGACCCGGGCGGTACCCCGTGTCCTGTAGTGCGTGGTAAACGTAAGGGGGGAAGAGGAAAGGAGAGGAGAGACCAGGTCACGGAATGCTTATCTTTGAGTGAACACGGGACGTGAATGGGCATGAATGCATGCACGGGGAACGTGTGTAAGTGAGACGTCACACTGGTATGCTTACTCGTAGATGGTTTACCCATGAGTGAGTGGTTTACCCATGAGTGAGTAGTTTACCCATGAGTGAGTGGTTTACCCATGAGTGAGTGGTTTACCCATGAGCGAGTGGCCTACCCATAAGCGGCTAACTTAACAGTCGCGTAGCCTCACCAGTAGAAATGGCGAGTCTGATCGTCTCACTAGGTTCAATCTCAGCCGTCCATCGTCCCCCCAGGCCTCATGCTCCTTCCACGCTTCCTTAGTGTAAACGGGTCCTAGGCCATGCAGCTTCGCGCCCTTCCTCCCCTTCCCCTTCTTCGCTTCCCTCCCCTTCTTCCCTGTCTTCATCTTCTTCTCCCTCTTTCCACTATCTCCACCACTGCTGCTGCTGCCGCCGCCCCCGCCGCCACCGCCGCCGCCGCTGCTGCTACTACTGCTGATGCTGGTGTCGCTAATATGCTTGGCTCGTCCCGGCATTGCATTTTCATGCACCGTTAGAGTCACATCCGTGCACCCGTTGTAATCCTCCATCGTGCATCTACCTGTCCCACTATCGAAACTACCAGCAGCAGCAGCATCAACAGCAGCAGCCGCACCAACAGCGGTTCTTCCTTCTCCTTCCCCTACTGCCGAGCCTTTCGGCCGCGTGATTATAGACGCCGGGCGCGCGCGCTAATGGGGAAGCGGCGGGGGAAAGGGCGGGAAGGGGAAGGGGGGGGGAGGGGAAAGGGGAAAAGGGGAGGAGGAAGGGGAGGGAAAGCAGTGGGGGGTTACACGGGGAGGGAGAATGGAATGTGGAACGGGGAAGGATGCGTGGGTGTTATGAAAGGAAAGAGGGATGTGGGTGTGGGGAGTGGGGATGACGATAGGGGAAATGAACAAGAACGCACAACGAGGGGATGAAATGGGGAAAGTGGTTCGGAGAGGACTCGAACGGAAAGGAGCAGAAGACACGTACGCAGGGAAGGGCGGCGAGAATGAGCAGCATAAGACACGCGTGCCGGCTCTGCCATGCGCCTCGCCGTGCGGCGGCTTGCGCGCATTGCAGCGCTCGTCGAGTCGGCTTAACGGACACTTGCGGCGACGAACGGGGAAGAGGAGAGCGCCGCGGCGACGGAACGTAACCGGATGAGTGGTAACCAGAGTCTAGAACGTGCCTCGTGTTCGCGACGGTGGATATACTACTCGGGGAGTGGTGTGGAATGGACGGGGTAAGGCGCCGCGACGCCATGGCATGCGTGATGACCACGCGAATGCGACGCGACAGTCAGTACCAAGAAGCGGTGACGCCTATCGAGACTTCAAAACGGTCGACCGGGAATGCGTAGGGTCAACTTGGAGGTGCCTTGGATATACTTGCGTTGGTCACGGTTGACTGGAGTTGACTGGAGTTGACTAGCTGTGGCATGACTTGGGCTCACATAGATCGAGCAGGGTTCGACATGGAGGCATACACGGGTGTCACGAACTGTTGTTTACATGGCCAACTACTACAGGGAAACGGTTGCCAGGAGTCATTGGTGGGTGCTGGCCGTGATAGTGATCGATGAGACATTAGTGATGGGCGGAGATGGTTGCGTCTTGGAGTCAGTATCGACGAGGCTACCGGGTCCGCTAAAACGACCTCATTTTCTTACTCTGCTAAATACGACACCCTGCATTAGGGTTTCTCGCGCGCTGCCATGCCGAATAGCATAGAGTAAAAACGGTGCACTAAACCAAGGGAACAAGACGCAGGCTTGAGATGCGCTTCGTCTGGGGGAACCTGAGGTAGCGAGGAGAGGACTTGATAGAGTTATTCGTACTAGTTTTTCGTTTGCAGCCGCTCTAGAACGCTGGAAGCCCCAAAACAGGGATTCTCTGGTGGAACTTCGATGAGTGGGAGAAGTTGGGGAGTTCGTAGTGTAGGGGAGGGATGCTCTCACTCTTGGCGAGCCCAAGACGCGTGGGCGAATCAAAAAGCGAACTCACTTGTCGGGTCTCGAGAACAGCGGGGGAACGGTTACCCTATCTAGTCACTTCGCGTAGTGGCTGACGCATACCCTCTGCCCCTGGATGTTTGTCGTGTTGTGTGGGTTTCTGGTTTGTCCGACCTATCCGCCTCTGGTTGGCTCAACACCAAACCGCCAATATCCAAATTGCCCTGCCTGCGCCCAGGGTGTGAGTTTTGGCGGTGTAAGGAAAATTCCTTTTCCTTGCGTCCCTGCTCAGCGCGTACACCACTGTTCCCGCCAACAGCACCCCACAATATTCCGTTACCACTCGCGACATTCGCCTCGACACCATTCCCGCCACTGTTCACGACCCGACCGCACGGTTCGGTTGGTAACCCGCGCTCCGGACCTCCGCCTCGACAGTCCCCCAACCTCGGCATCAGGCCCATCGCGCGCCCCATTTTCCACATGTTACCGTTACCACCGTAGCTTCGCTATATATTCTTCGCTCAATCCTTCGCCCATTGGATTCTTGTCTCGATAGTGCAATCCTCGCTCGCTCACTCAATTGAACTCGTAACAGGCGGGAAGAGGAAACACCTGAGACTGTATCGAGAATGAGTGTGAACGCAACGAACAAATGAACAGTGTACTTGTATCCCAATATCAACATGACGAGTTGTCCATTAGGAAAACCTTTTACGTTTCCAACTTTTTTGCTTAACATATGAGAACATAACACTAAGGGTACATTCCGCTCTGGACACAAATGTCTCAATCGCGTCATAAAACCGCTGTACCAGTCTGCACTGCATTACACTTAAGTGTCAAACATTTCCACCGCACTGCATCTCTTCGTTTGAGACACGAGGCCTTTGTGACGCGCTTCAGGAATGTACCCTAAAATCAAAGGGTAGAGTACTGAACAAACAACTAATTGTCTAAGGAATCGCATTAACAGGCCCCTGGACTCGGATGAAACCATGCGAGTGAATTATTCGGGCCACAATTGGCCGCTTGTGGCTGTGGCCACCCCTATACGAAACCAGCAGGATCCCAGGATCCTCTGGCCTCCTCTCCAACACCCTCTTCGCCAAACACCCATCATGGCTACACCGGTAATAGCTGCGCTTGAAGTGTGTTTGCTTGAGCGCCTTCTCTCCATACTTGCGCCACCGGTACCCGTCATCCACCTCATCCTTAGTTGTAGCCACACGGTGCATTAACAGCTGCTGCTCCTCCTGCTGCTGCAAGTGCGAAATGTGCAGCTGGTGAATAGGGCTCATGGGACTAACCCCTCTTGTGCATGGAGAGAGAGGAGGAGACGGCACGGGTATCGTCCCAGCAGGGCTGAGAGGAAACGGCGGAAGGGGGGCGGTCGAGGCCGAGGGCGAAGGAGAGGGAGAAGGGGAACGTGGAGGGGTATTGACAGGGCTCGCTGCCTGCACCTTCTGCCTCTTGCAAGGGTTGCTTGGAGTGCTTCCATACTGGACTGCATTCCCCCCTTCCTCTTCCCTCGGGCAAGGGGCGTCACTCTCCTCTGATTCTCTCTGCCTCTTGTTGCCGCACATGCCTCCTCCCCACACTCCCCCACTCCCTCCTCTGCCTCCTTCGCCTCCTCTGACTGTCCGCGTGGCAGCAGCTGCTGCAAGGGCAGAAGACCAAGTGGTGGGTAAGCCTTGGGTAGGCAGTACCTGAGCTTGCTGATTCGTCTGCTGCTGCTGCTGCTGCTGCTGCTGCTTATCTTCACTAATGCTCCCACAGCTGCTGCTCAGATGGCTATCCAGGCTCCCAGTCACCGGCCCTCCATGCACCACCGCAGCCGCAGCTTCCAAAGCAGCAGCAGACGACCCAGCACCACCAGCAGAAGCACCAGCACCAGCAGCAGCAACGGTACTGGCGCCAGCATGGGAATGCTCTTCTCGGTATACCACTCGTGTGGAAGCAGCGTCTTCAGACAGCTCCACAGTTTTCCTCGCAGGGCAGCCGGGCAGAGCACAGCGGAAATAAGCACGGGGGAACTTGGCACCCTTGGCAGTCTTCTGCCCATACTTGCGCCACTGGTATCCGTCCCCTGGGATGCTCTCCATGAGACGCGCTAGAGGGTCTGAGGATTGGCATAAGTCTGAGACCAGAGGGGATACGGCTGGCTGATCCCGGCTGTATCTCTCGGCTTCGGCTGCTGCTGCGGCCGTGGCTGCTGCTGCTGCTGGTGCTTGTGGGGTTGCAGGTGAGGCATGCGGCTGAGAGGGGGAGTCGGCTTGAGCTGAGGTGGTGCCCTCGTTGTGCAGGGTTGGCTGCTGCTGTTGCTGCTGCTGCTGCTGCTGCTGCTGCTGCTGTTGCTGCTGTTGCAAGAGCTGTGCATCAGCAGCTGCAGCAATCTTCTGCAGCAGCAGCGCACGAAGGAGCGCATCCAGCTGAGCTGGTAAAGCAGCCGCAGCTGCCGCCTCATCCCCCCCTGCTGCTGCTACCACCGGGGTAGCTGGTGAGACCGGTGATGCAGGAGTGAAAGGAGAAGCTGGGGTGATTGGGGTGGCTGGGGTGGTTGGCGTGACAAAGCCACAGGAGGAGGCTGGGGTAGTTGGCGTGGCTGGTGGTGTGAATCGCAGCGACAAGGACGCCGATGGGCGGATCTTACGAGACATCAATCGGGACGGCAACGGGGACGGCGATCGAGTGGGAGGAGTTAACCGCGCTCTCCTCGGCCCTGGGCCGAGCGGCAGCGGCACCGACACAACAGCTCGAACAGCGGGAGGCGAGGGAGATGGTGCAGCGGACACATCCTGAAGTGCGTATTCCGAGGAAGGAAAGAACGGCTTCGCATCCGCTGAGTGTTGAGCAGAGGCGCAAGGTGAGTAAGGAGAGGCAGGGCCTGGGGTATACGCCGGCTGCTCGTTGTCCCTCTGCTCTGCCTCTGTGTCTCTCTCCTCGTCTCCTGGCCAGCAGGAGGACTCTGGTAGCGTCAATGGGCGAAGCTTTAGAAGCAGGCTGCGCTGGGGATGGGCAGTGGGAGGGGCAGCAGGATGGGCAGAGTAATAGTCCGGAGAGGAAGAAGGTCCAGCCGTCTGCTGCTGCTGCTGCTGCTGCTGATGTGGCTGTGCCAGGAAGTCCCCTTGCTCCAACGCCTCTACACTCAACCCTCGCACCGGCAGAAACTGCATCAAATCCTGTGCCGCTGCACCACCGCTAACACCCTCGCCGCCGGTGCCGCTGCTGCCGTACTGCTGAAAGCACCATGGCATGGAGCTGTCTCCTCCAAACGCGAACATCTCTATCGGGGATAGCTGTGGCAGGGCTGTGCTCTGGCAAAGCGCTTCTGGCGCGTTTCTCACGGTTAAGATCGGTGGAGGGCGCTGCTCGTCGGTGGCAAGCTCCGCCTCAGCTCGAGGGGAGGTGTGCTCGGGGGAGGCGGACCTGTGAGATTGACCGTCGTCGTATCTGCCATTAAAAGGCACGGGCTCTTGCACGTCGTCGAACAATGAGGGCGAGAGAGGAGGCGACGCGGGTTCTGGTTTCACATCAATCTCAGCACCCACACTAGTAGCATTCGCAGTAGCGGCGCCAGCGGCAGCAGTGGCGCCGGCGGCGGCGGCGGCCGAGCCGCCCGTGCTTGATCCTCCCAGTCCGAGTCGTACCAGGTTCGCAGCGGCAGATTTGGATGCCGTCGCTAGCATCGGCAGCAGCGCGCCGAGCAGCTCCAGTCCGCGCTGCCGCTGCTGCTCCTCCGTCAACGCATCACCGGCGGCTTGATGATCAACTTGATCATCCTTCTCGCGTCGCTGCCGCGGCCCGTCTTGATACTCCGCCGTCGCTTGCTCTCCCGCGGGCTGCGGAGTTCGCGGCGCATCGCCCACTGCCACCATATCTGGGCTGGCGGCGGCGCGGTCGGCGCCGCAATGCGCGGCCGGCGCCGTCGCGGCGTCGCAAGGGACTTCTGCCAGAAGCGCGCGCAACTCGTGAAGGTGGTGCATCAGCTGTTGGCGCGCTGCGGTCCCGTTCTGACTGTTATTACTTGCAAGGGCAGCAGCGGAACTACCAGGAGAACCCATGAACAAAAGCCGCTGCTGCTGCTCCCGGTGGTAGTGTGACTGTGAATGAGACTTAGAATGAGCCACTGAATGATCGGCGTGTGATGCGGAATTGCGATGAGACTCTGACGCTGGAGAGCGGAAGAAGGAGAAGGGGGAGGAGAAGTAGGCGGAGTTGAATGTCGTAGTTGCGTCTTTGTTGTTGAACGGCGCCGTTACGCGGAGATTCAGTAGGTAATAGTAACGAAGCAGTAACGAAGTTCCGACACACGTAACTTCGAGTTTTAACGGGATCGACCTATTTTTTTCGACACTGAAGCGTTTCAATCCTTTCCAGTAGAAGAGCGACACGCGACGTGAGTTGCTCAAGGGATTTGTCACGAGGATACAACCGCTATTACTGAGGCTGGGGCTACGGTGCTTGTAGTGGCAATGGAAAATCCTCCGCTCTAGCCGTTTTTCTCGCTGTCTATGTGATCGCGGCGGGGATAATCATGAATGCCGTTGAGTCGTGTTTTTTCTTCTCCGGCGGTGGTGGGGTTGTGAATTTATTTCCATTTGGAGCCAAACCTCTCAGTGCGCCAGCGTCCCTCCCTAAACTTTGCCGCGCCTTCGTCGTAACGTGGTATGGTAGGTGGGTGGGTGTGCGGCGGGGATTTGACCTTCGTCAACGGGTCAACTATAGCGAAACGAGAAACGGGAGCTGCTCGTTACCTGCACACACGCCACTGTGCTGCACTACCGTACCTGCCAGATCACTCCCAACCCAAACCTCAACACTCCCCCTCCCAAACTCACTCACCACCAGCACCACCGCCTCGCTCCCAAACCAAACGGCTTGGCCAAATCGAATCATGATCCTCCCACCGCTTTTGCAGAATGTGACACCCCACGCGTGTCTCGCACGATGTCGAGGGCTTCAAAGGGGGGTTTCCAGTGAACTGGTCTAGTCACTCTCAACCGGCTCGGGTTATGAGAAGAAACAATCGCGTTCTTGGAAATGAATATTTGCTTCAAATGAAAGACGCAAGTATTCTGACTCGTGTGGGAGATGGATGGTGGTGGAAATTGGTTATCGCATGGTGCTGTACGAGAATGTAAATGATGATCGAAGCAGACCGGATTTATGTAGGGTAAACACTTTCTGAATTGGAGAAAGAGGTACATTTTATTCCAAACCGAAGCCCAGGCCTGGCCTTTGTTCCCAAAACCAAACCGCTGTGGCAAACCGCGCGCCAAGTCAGTGAAACCAGAGGCACATGCTTGTCAGCACAGCTCGCGCACACCGACCACCAAGGGTTCGGCGAAAGTCGGGCGAAACGCGGTTTCGAACATGTTCTGTGACGAAGAGGTGAGGAGGACACCCAACTATCTGCGAGAATAAGCGATCAATATACAGGTCGTAGGATGCTGTACCAGGTCGTAAGCCTTCGTGTATCGAACTCTTATTGGTCAGACACCGCTGGTAAACGGCCAAGGTTTTGCGGGTAGCCAGATTTCCAGCCGCTGACGGGTTGACAAGACGTTGAAACCGTCAATGCTTGTCTGCAAGTACAGTCAAGCATGCTCTCTCGATGAATCGCCCCCAAAATCGTGGACCGGAGGGTGATTTCGGGAGCGTCGATTGGAAGATGGACGTGAGAAGGTCACCGCAGAAATTCGGCGGCTTGTCACCGCCAACCAGATGAAGCAAAATCTCAAATCCGCACAGTGCTACACACTGTAACGGCGAGGTTGGCAAGAGGCTCAACAATGTGCCAGGTGGCGAGCGCAGGTGTGATAATGAGACTGACCTCACTTCGACAGAAGTTTCGCGTGGCTTCAACAGTATCGCAAATGTTTGCCATTGTTCTTGATATTGTCATTCTACACTTTGTCATGCCTAAAGAAATACGTGAATGTTTTATCTTATTATGTGTCCAATAGTTCACTTCGGCTTGTGCTTCAGTTGGGTAGTGTCGAGTTCAAAATCGCCATCACCTACATGAATCACAGTTTCTTCCTTCCCTATTTCCGTGCTGGACTGATCAAACCCGCCCGGTTCAGCAACATGGCATCCGGAGGGCGAACAGCAAGCGCAGGAGGAAGGGGAACAGCAGGACGAGAAGGAGGGAGAGGAGGGAGAGGAGGAGGAAGAGGAGGAGGAAGAGGGGGAAGAGGAGGAGGACAAGAAGGGGGAGGAGGAGGAGGGCGTCGCAAGTCATCGTCGGATCGCGACCCGTTGACCGCCAAAGTGTCTCCCAATTTCGGAGGAGGCGCGCTTCCGCCTCCTCCTTCCGCCAGGGATGTCTCCGCGCTTCCCGCGTCCCTCCGGCGAGTGATGGCTCTTCGGACGCGCGCGGAACAAGATGCATCCGCAGGTAGCGAGTGATTGCGCTAGCGCGCTGTCTAAAACGCAGAACAAGATTGTTAGCAGGCGCGTAGAGCGATGCTGTGGCATGCGCATGCACACTCGTAGAACAGAAATGGTGGACTGTAGTAGCGGCACAATCAGTTACAACTCCGTCGCGGCGAATGCGGAGAGGGAGACAGCTAGTTACCACTTTGGACACGTTGCAACCTTGATTGGCTGCGAAGTTGCGCCGGGAGTTTCAGGGTTTTGAGGGTGTCAGGGTTTCGGGGTCTGAGGCTTATCACTCATGTTAGAGTCCAGGCCTCAATCTCCAAGTTTCAAGTTGTCTTGTTGGCACAAGCGCTCGCTCGCCTCCCTACGCCTCTCGCTCCCCCTTTTTCCTCCTGTCCCCTCCTCCCTCGTCCTCGTCCCCCTCCTTCCCCCCCCTCCCCCCTCCTCCCCCCCCCATCCCCATCCCTCGTTTCCCCTCCTCTCCCCTGACCGCTCCTCCCTACCGCCCCTTCCTAATGTTCCTTCCCTTACCCCTTGCGACTCCGCTTCCACCTCCCCTCGTCGCGCTCTCACCCACCCGCGCCACAGGGAAACGGAAGCGGGGAGGGGAAACAGGAGGACGCGGAACAGGGGGGGCTGGGGGAAGGGGGAAAGGGCGCGGGGCCGCGGCGAACGGCGGAGCTGAGGGGAATGCAGCAAGGAAACGAGCGCGCAGGGCGGAGCAAGGGGGAGCGGAAGGCATGCAACCTCCGCAGCAGAGTAAAGGCCACGCGGGGAAGGGGGAACAGGATGGGGGAAGTGGCGCGGGGGAACGCGGTGGGAGCAACCAGCGCGCGGGTGCGGCAGGGGGAAGGGGGGGGAAAGCGGGTGTGCGGGGGGGGAAAGGGGGGAGAGGAGGCGAGCGCGGGGGGAGGGGGGGGCAGAATGTGCGCGGAGTGGGGAGGAAAGAGGAGCAGGATTTGCTGGCGTTTGGGGAAGAGCTGAAGGCGGCTGCTGCTGCTGCTTCTAGGAGCCAGGGGAAGAGGAAAGAGAAGATGAAGAAGTGAGTGCTAAGGGGTGTGCAAAGAGGTGTGTAAAAGGGAGTGTGTGTGAGAAGGGTCGTGCAAGGAGTTTTCGGTTCAGTGAGTTAGTTAGGGAGTGGGGAACTACAGGCAAGGAAGGAAGGACTCTCATATCTCGTCATCCCCCTGTTCACCTCCGGCGTTGTATTGTAACTTCAGGCAGGCTTATTGTGCTTCCCCATGGCAGGTTCCTGACAGAGCGGCGTAAGGCCAAGAAGCTGAAGCAGAGGCATGGAGGGCGCGGGGATGCAGAGGTCGGGGGAGGGGGAGGGCAGGGAGAGAGCAGGAGCGCGGATGGCAGGGCTCTGGAGTTCCCTGAGAAAGAGGTGGTGGCGTTTGGGGATGTGGTGCAGGAACCACCCAGGAATCTTCCTCAGCCACGGAAGAAGGTTGGTGTGCTTTGATGTTGTGGGAGTGTGTGTTAGAGTGGGGGGGAGGTGTGGGGGACGGGGAATGTGTGGGTGCGTGCATGCGTGCCGGTGTGTGTGTGTGTGTGTGAGTGTGTGTGTGTGTGTGTGTGTTGGGGGAGCGGGGAGGTGTATGTGTATATCAGTGTGATGTGTTTTGTGATGCGCTTCTATCCGTGGCAACCTTATGGGTGCAGTGCTTTTGTTCCTGCAAATTCATTTTCCCCTTGAAACCGTTCCCACCCTGACCACTCACCCAACCATCCACTCACCCAACAAACAGCCGCCCTCCCCCTGTCTTGCTCCTCTCAGATATCCCCACCATCGTTTCAAACCCTCAGTCCCTAATACTCGTGTCGTTGCACTTGCCTTTCATCCCTCCTGCAGAAAACACCCCAACAAATACTCTCCGCTGCTGCTGCTGTCGTGTCATCTGAAGCTGCTGCTGCTGGCCCCATGGTTGCTGCACCTACTGCTGATCACTCTACTACAACCCACCCTGATGCATCCACGTCTGCTGCTGCTGCTGCTGCTGCTGCTGCAGCTGTTCCAGCAAAGAAAGAGCCTCGGCATTGGCCGGCGAAGTTGGGAGATTCTGTGGCATCGCAGGAGAAGTTGCGATTGGCCGCAGTGCAGCATTACCGCAATTTGCATAAAAATAAGAAAGAGAAAATGCTGGCTAACCTTCCTGCACGGGCAATTAGAGCGGAACTGGAGTGAATTTTGCTTGTAGTAGGGTTTGGAATGTTTGTTTGTGTAGAGCAGTGCGTGTATGATCGTAAGTTGACTAGTTTCTCTGGTCATAATGGGGGTATGTTGCTAAGCACCCAAGTTGGGGTTCACCTTTGATTCTTGAACCGCGCGAAGATTTTTTCACAGGGTTGACTCAAAACAAAAGACAATCATGGCCTTGTTGTCTACGTACAGCACTGGAGAAGAACGAGGCCGCTCTCCCAAGTCGGTCAGCAGGTAGGTGAGCCAGCGTAACTCCTGTGCAGCCATGGCCCCTGCGTAGATCTCAGCCTCACAACTGGAACTGAGAACAGAAGACGAGCGAGTAGACTGCCAAGAAACAGAGCCGGAGCCAAGGCTGAAAGTGTAACCCTGTGACGACCGCTGCGTAGCCAAGTCGTCAACCCAAGAAGCGTCTGCGTGTCCAGTAAGGACAACTGGACCCCGTCCTCCAATCATGAGGCCCATGCCTGAAGTACTGCACAAGTAGCGCAACACCCTCTTAGCGGCCTCCCAGTGCTCTGGTCGGTGTCTCCCGGGCGCATTGTAACGTGCCAGGATGCTAAGAGGGTAGGCAAGGTCAGGTCGAGTGCAGGCCATCAGGTACATGAGGCAGCCCACAAGCTCTGGATACGGACCACTCGGCTCTACGGACTCGTCCGAAGGTGGAGCTGAGAGCGAGTGACCGGTAGGCAGAGGAGTGGACTGTGGCGAGGAGTACCGGAAGCCGAAGCGCTGAAGGACCTAGTGCACCATGTGTGACTGAGTCAAGGTGATGGTGCGCCGTGCTCTGTCCTGGGTGATTTGCAAGCCAAAATAGCTGCGCAGCTCGCCCAGGTCAGTGCAGGTGTGTCTCTTCTGCAGCTCCGACTTCACAAGGGCCAGTGCCTCAGTGTCAGCAGTGGCAAAGACCAAGTCGTCGACGTACACGAGGACGTAGAACGGCGGCAGCGAAGTGTCGGTGCGCAGAAACAGCGAGGGGTCAGCAGTTGAAGGAGCAAACCCAAGAGCCGCAAGCGTCGTCCTCAGTGTGTCGTGCCACTCGCGAGGCGCCTGGCGGAGATCGTAGACTGGCCGCCGGAGGCTCCACTGGGTACCAGCAGGAAACGACCCAGTGAAGCCAGGTGGGCGGCGCAGCCAGATCTCCTCGTGCAGGCTGCCCTGTAGGAAATCTGTGCTGAAGTCAAGAGAGTGCAGCTCGTAGTCACGCTGATCGGCGACATGCAGCAGAACCCGAAGAGTGGTCATCTTCGGGGTAGGGAAGAAGGTATGGAAGAAGTCAACTCCTTGTCGCTGACTGAAGCCTCGCGCAACGTAACGAGCCTTGAAGACAGGCGGTGAACCCGGCGGCCGCTTCACCCTGAAAATCCACATGCCATTGACTATGTTCGCCCCAGAAGGGGGAACTGCATCGACGTAGGTGCTAGTGGACTTCCAGGATGCCATCTCTGCGTCCATGGCTGTCTGCCACTGAGAGGAGTAGGGACCCGTTATCGCCTCTGCGTAAGAGCGCGGGGTCGGGATGTCTGGTGCATCCGGGTCTCCCTCAGGGGCAAGCAGCATGGCCACGAGATGAGGTACAGCAGCTGCAAGGCACTCAAAGTCCTTCTGCCTGTCCTCAAGGACGTCCATGCCAAGAGCACACTCACCCCCGACGGACGGAGGACAGTCAAACTCAGACTCAGCAACAAGACTTGTGGCGTAGTCCAACCGACAGGCAGCAGCAAAGTCAACAAGCTCAGCAACTAGGGCAGACGCAGCAGAGGACTCAAACGAAGGGTAGGTGACATTAGTGGCTAGAAGACGAGAGACAGCGGGACTAGCAGCACGAGCTAGGTCAGACTCAGGGTCAGGAACGGCAGGAATAGAGGACTCAAGAGGAGGCTACAGAGGAACTCGAAGAGGAACAGAGGAAGGACGAAGTGTCATAACGTGAGTGCTGGATAGAGGAGGAGGACGCGGACGAGGAACCCGACGACCAGTGCAAACAGCGCAAACAAGTGAGGCAGGACGAGACTTAGGCTTATGACGCTCTGTAAAAGAGTCTGTCTGCTCAGTGTAAGGAGAAGGAGCAGGCAGTGGGGAGTTTGGCTGTAACTGTGGCTGCGACTGGCAAGGCGGTGGACTCCGTAAGCTAGGAGGAAGGCCAGTAGAAGACGGGAGACTAAGAACCCGGCGAAGGACCGAATCAGGTGGCGGGAGAGACGACGGTGGCGGCGGAATGAAAAACGGGCGCCGCTGCACAGTGCCTCCAGCACCAGTACCGCCAGACGCAGCACCCCCAGCGCCAGCACCTCTAGCTCCAGGGTCAACAGCTCCAGTGCCTCCAGCTCCACTGGCCCCAGCGCCAGTGCCTCCAGCTCCAGTGCCTCGAGCGCCAGGGTCTCGAGCTCCAGCTCCTCTAGCTACAGTGCCGCAAGCGCCAGGGCCTCCAACTCCAGTGTCTCCAGCTCCAGCGCCTCCAGCGCTAGGGTCTCCAGCTCTAGCTCCTCCAGCTCTAGCACCCCCAACACCACCAGCCCCGGCAGCTCCAGTACCCCTGGTACGAGCACCTCCAGGACCAGCAGCTGCAGCACCTCCAAGACTAGTAGCTCCAGCACCTCCAGCTCCAGTGCCTCCAGTGGTAGAGTCTCCAGCTCCGGCATCTCCACTCTGAAGGCGTGTGGGCTGAGCAAACCACTCGCGCAGCTGCTGCAGGGAGAGAGGCTCCGGTCGGAGAGACCGTCGTGGCGAGGCACCCGCAAGACCTCCAGAAGAAGCAGTACCCCTAGGCTCAGCACCCCCAGATCCCGCACCCCCAGACTCAGCACCCCCAGGCTCCGCAACCTCAGGCTCAGGACCCCCAGGCTCCGCACCCCAGGCTCCGCACCCTCAGGCTCCACAGCCCTAGGCTCCGCATCCTCACGCTCTGCACACGCAGGCGCAGCACCCCCATGCTCTGCACTTGCAGGCTCAGCACCCCCAGACGTAGCACTCCCAGTCGCAGTACCTCTAGCAGCACCTGAGTCTACAGCGACCTTGATAGGGACAGTCCCGGGGAATGGGTCTACCTGAGACACACCTGAGGGAGAAGGACCCTGAGGGGGGAGGGGGTCTACCGGAGGGGGACCTGGAGCAAGAAAGAGCAGCGGGGGTGGGAGAGGGGCAGAGCGGTAGGGGAAGAGACGGTAAAAGGGAACCGACCTCGTCAAACGTGACGTCCTGAGAAGGGAGGACACGTTGCGAGGTGGGGTGGTAAAACTGCCAGCCAGGCGCGTCAGGGGGAAAGCCAAGGAAGACGCACGGAATAGCGCGGGAGGAGAGCTTTTCCGCGGACGTATCGCGAACAAAGGCACGAGAGCCCCAGACCCGGAACACCGACGCATCGCCAACCTTCCCCGTCCAACGCAGTGTAGGCGAGGTCTCTGGCAAGGAGACACGGGGCCAGAGGTTGATCTGATGCGCAGCGTACCGGACCGCAAATGGCCACAGAAAATGGGGAGCAGCCGCATGGATCATGGAGGTACGAACCACCTCCATGACTAAGCAATGCGGCGCTCAGCAATCCCATTTTGCTGCGGGGAGGCCGGAAGCGTGAACGACTGGAGGATGCCCTCCCCACGACAAAAGTCCTGCAAGAGGTCGGAGGAGAACTCACCACCTCTGTCAGAGTGCAGACGCAGGACAGGAAGGTCTTCGTGGAACCGCTCGCGGAGCTGGAGACGGACTGCGCGGATCTAAGGGATCAAGACATCAGGGACCTCACCCTTGCTGCACAAGGGGAAGACCGTGGTGTAACACGTGTAGTCGTCAACAACCAGCAGAAAGCAGCGCTCGCGGCCCTATCCACTGATGCGGGCTAGGCCCCACACGTCCATGTGGAGAGTCTGCAGGGGAGCAGTCATCGGGGGAAACGAGGAGGAGTGAGGAGCGGCGCGCTGCCGCCCCTCGACGCAAGGAAGGCACGGCGGGGCAAGCGAGGGCAGGAGGGGAGGAAGAGACCCGGGAAGACCAGAGACAAGGAGGCTAGAGTGCATGCCACGAAGGCGTGGCAGGGAGGGGTGACCCAGGTGGTGGTGCCACAGAAGAGTCTGGTGCGACAGGAGGCGAGACGAGCAAGGGGGTGCTACCTGACCTGACGCGGACACCTGGGCAGACGCAGCTACCTGAGGAGGCTCGGTAGCCAGTGTGTACAGACTCGACCCTGGCCAACGAGTGAACGTGGCCAGGTGACAGCCCGTCCATGTACACGTGCAGATCGACACACGCTGACCCCCAGGACTGGT